ACTCTCCCCCTCACCACTCTCCCCCTCACCACTCTCCCCCTCACCACTCTCCCCCTCACCACTCTCCCCTCACCACTCTCTCCCTCACCACTCTCCCCCTCACCACTCTCTCCCCTCACCACTCTCACCACTCTCACCGCTCTCCCCCCTCACCGCTCTCCCCCTCACCACTCTCACCACTCTCACCACTCTCACCTCCCTCACCACTCTCTCCCTCACCACTCTCTCCCTCACCACTCTCTCCCTCACCACTCTCTCCCTCACCACTCTCCCCCTCACCACTCTCCCCCTCACCACTCTCACCACTCTCACCGCTCTCCCCCTCACCACTCTCACCCCTCCCCGCCTCTCCCCCTCACCCGCTCTCCCCCTCACCGCTCTCCCCCCTCACCGCTCTCCCCCTCACCGCTCTCCCCCTCACCGCTCTCCCCCTCACCGCTCTCTCCCATCACCAGTCTCTCCCTCACCACCACTCTCCCTCACCCTCTCCCCCTCACCACTCTCCCCCTCACCACTCTCCCCCTCACCACTCTCCCCCTCACCACTCTCCCCCCTCACCACTCTCCCCCTCACCACTCTCCCCCTCACCACTCTCCCCCTCACCACTCTCTCCCTCACCACTCTCCCCCTCACCACTCTCCCCCTCACCACTCTCTCCCTCACCACTCTCCCCCTCACCACTCTCCCCCTCACCACTCTCCCCCTCACCACTCTCCCCCTCACCACTCTCCCCCTCACCACTCTCCCCCTCATCACTCTCCCCATCACCACTCTCCCCATCACCACTCTCCCTCACCACCACTCTCCCTCACCACTCTCCCCCTCACCACTCTCCCCCTCACCACTCTCCCCCTCACCACTCTCCCCCTCACCACTCTCCCCCTCACCACTCTCCCCATCACCACTCTCCCTCACCACCACTCTCCCTCACCACTCTCCCCCTCACCACTCTCCCCCTCACCACTCTCCCCCTCACCACTCTCCCCCTCACCACTCTCCCCCCTCTCACCACTCTCAACACTCTCACCACTCTCCCCCTCACCACTCTCCCCCTCCTAAAGGAATCTACAACCTTCGATTCGTCCTTTGTGCGATTCAAGGAATCGATTCCTGGCATGTTGGGGGTTTACATTTTGAATGACAGAGTTTTATTTTCATTGATATGTTATGTTTTAATGTTTTCAGGAGTTTTTAATAAAATTTTTGCCCCGGTAAACGCCGGATATTTCCCGTTCGTAGCAGTTTATATCGACTTTAACCAACTTATAGTAAACGGGAATCGTCCGAATCTAAAGGAATCTACAACCTTCGATTCCTTTTCGCGATTCAGAGAATCGATTCTTGGCGCGTCGGGTTTAAAAGTAATTACACACTTGTATTTTCATTGGTATGTAATGTTTTAAAGTTTTCAGAAGATTTTAAATGTATTTTCCCCCCAGGCAACGCCGGGTATATCGAGTTTATACCACAAAGTCGTCGCTTGACACGGGTGGGGTGTCGAGGCCTAGTACCGTGCAGAGCCTCCGGCCTTGCCTAGATTGCCTACCCAGCTGAGGCTCCGTACTGGGGCCAATACCCCCCCCCCCGCGCTACAATATTACTGTCTAATCGCTATAATTTTATTATCTACCGACCCTATAATAGTAATTGCACACATTGGGGTGGGGGGGGGGAGTGAAAAGGACGTGAAACTTTGATGAATTTACCTCAGAATCGCGTGTTAATGCGTGCGCATATTTTTAATGGTAATTCAAAATGGCGTCCACCCCGCAGCGAACGCGTCTCTACCCGTTGCCAGGGGCAACCGCCGTGGTCCGCGCCGGCCGGCAAGAGTAAATAAATAAATAAAGCGTTAAATAAATAAATAAAGATGAATCGCACTAAATCGATAATCGGTCCGATTTAAAGTTTAGAGACGAAAAATCGGAAATGCCTAAGTTTACCGCGGGGCCGGGGGCGTGCCCACCTGCAAAATTTAATCTCGCCGAACCCCACGGTCCGAGAGCTAAATCCCCCGGTAGGGAGCGTACGCGGACGGACGGACGGACAAAAAATTAATTATATAGGTTAGATATGTGAACCATCTCAGCTTTGCTGATGACGGCATTAGTATGTATTTCTAAATTATTTCGCATCATATGTAGCCAACCGTGCTAATTGGAGGTGCGGGGAAAGGACAAGCTAAACACAAAAAGCAGTTCCAATAAAGGAGTTTTCAATTTATATTTAAAAGTGCATAGCTCCAGTGGCTTCCTAATATCGAAAGGAAAAGCATTCCAGATGGCCACAGAAGCACATCTCAAAGCGTCCGATGCGGTGACCGTCTTTGTTCGATGGCTAACCAAAAGCCACTGCAGCGAGGATGACCGGAGTTCGCGTGACAGATACTGCTCCTTGACGAGATCAGCAAAGTATTGTGGTTCATTTGTGACAAGCACTTTGTGTGTAATGAGTGCGACCTTATAATTTATTCGTTCAGCAACTGGAAGCCAATGCAGCTTGGCAAGCACTTGACAGGCAGGACATTTTAGAAGAATTTTATTTTTAAAAAGGCTGCAAAAAGTTGAGCTAATTATGAATACGAACAATTCCAGGGTAGTGTGAAACCAGTTCACGGAATAATGGACGATATCTTCAAGGGAAACACAAATGGAAGACACAGCAGAACGTGTTCCTAGGGTGATGTTGAAGGTGACTGAGATCGAAATGATGAGATGGACGAGAGCAAAGTGGAGAGCTTCTGGAAAGCTTTGTTTAGCACGGTTGGCGACGTACGGTGCAAAATAAATTCCACATACATACATAAACTCACACAGAGACCCATAGTTTGTTATCCTTCCCCTGCACCTCCGATTAGCATGGTTGGCTACGTACGGTGTGGAAGAAAGTTCAACATACGTAGAAGAGAAACAGCAATATGCCTGAAGAAAACAGCGTTGAATCACTGTGTGCTATCTGCAATGACAAACGTCAAGAAATGTCACCATTAGCAACAACAAAAATATGGAACAAAAACTGAACACAAAGCATGCTTGGAATGACAAATGGACATATTAGCGGTACACTGGTGCAGCATAACACACTGGACCTCATACAACAGTCGAATGATGTTGCTGTTGCCACTTGAGTTGAGCTGCAGAACTCTCCATGAGAAGTTGACACCACCATACGTCATAATATTTGTGATGCCACTGTCTGCCAAGAAATGATTCTGGAAATTAATCGAGGAACAACCGTCTCGACGAAGTCTAGGTAGGGCACGAGTGCAAATCTTGCCTTTAGAACACCGAGCCAAACAATCGTCATCAGGGCTGGGTGCTGCTATATGGCAACAGACTGTGAAGCTTCACGGTCAGCCGCTCATATAACCGTTCTGTCTTCCAAACTGCCTCGATATCACGAGAACTGATTTTCAGGCACCACCACTCTACAAGATTTTCTCACCGGAGTTGCGAATCGCAAGAAAAATAAAGAAAATAAATAAATGTTGCACACAAATTAGCTTTTTGGTTTTTGTTATAACGCACACCAGCGGTGTAGTACCGCCAATACCTTCACACGCCGGTTCTCATAAAGCAATGTAAGGAAAAGTATTTTGGCTTGGGCAGGACCTTCATCTAGCTTGGGATTGACCCTGGCTGATGATGATGAATTTGAAATATATTTGTTTCCTCTAATGAACGTTCTAAAAAAGCTGATTGTAATAGAGTAACGATGGTGAAATGTTAACTACCTCACCTGGAATGCAGGAGGTCGTGGATTCAATCTTGACCCTGATGTCTGCTGTATATTTGGAGTTTGCATGTTCTCCCCGTGATCACGTGGATTTTTCTGTGGGTCCTCTGGTTTTTCCCTCCACATTTAGAAACATGCATTTAGTATTTGGCTGCTATAAATTTCCACATGTTAAGCCACTTCGTTGAACTATCATTTGTGGCCAAGTTGATTCTAAAAAGGAGCTATGTAGCTCAGTGGGCATTACCTGGAAAATTGAACAATGTAAAGCTAATCTGTGTGTTCGGTGTTAGCTGTGCTGACAGGGTCGAGGATGAGGGAGAAGGTGATTAACTACAATTCGATTTCAATAGAACTGAGCTGTCTTCATCTTACAGATCAAGGAGCATAAACCATCATCACAAGAACTCCGGTCATCCTTGCAGCAATGGCTATTGGCTAGCCATCGAGCAAAGATGGTCACCGCATCGCGCGCTTTTCAGATGCGCTTCTGTGGCCGTCTGGAACACTCTTCCTTCTGATATTAGGAAGCCACTGGAGCTATGCACTTTTAAATCATTTAGATTGAAAACTCATTTTTTCTAAGTGCTTTTTGTGTTTAGTTTGTTGTCCTTCCCCTGCACCTCCAATTAGCACGGATGGCTATGTACATAGCAAAAGAAGTTAGACATACATAATCAGCCCAAAACATCTGTAAAGCAGCTACTCCAATTGCTGACCATCATATTAACACCACCAGCTAAAACACGTAGCCTGTTGCGACCAATATTATCTATAACAGAGGTTTTCGGGTGAGATTAACTGTGACTAACCGGACTAATCATGGATATTCATTGTAATTTATATGGCTACATTAACCCCCCTCTCGTCTTCGCACCTGATTGGCTCACAAGTAATGACGTCACATTGTATCCCTCTAAGACGAAACAGCAGGAGGATTTCTCCACAACTCTGACTGTCGCCTGATGAAGCTGAGTCTTAATGTTGTAGGTTTACTCTCCAACACACAATCGGTAGTGCTGAACTAGTAACTAATTGTCACGTTTTGCTTCCATGACAAACCTTACTAATTGGCCGTGTCTGGTGGTGGCGAGTTTAACACTTAATTTACGCGATCTAACCCCAAAAAAACCTCTTATACCACCGTTTGTTACCGCGCCCTCTTCATGGTTTGCGGTTCACGCACGCGTGCCTTTTGGAATACGCTGCGTGTTTTGACATTTTTTTGTTTAAATTGGAGAATTTTTGTTCTGGCCCTCCCGCAGGACGACCCCAGCCAGAAGCAGGAGAAGAACGGGGAGTCTGGGGCCATCACTGTGGGGCACGGGAAGCCTCTGAACGCCAGCGCCTCCGCAGGGCACCCGCCGCACGTCCCGCACGCTAAACCCGAGAACACGTCCGACGACAAACCCAGCGATAGCCGCTCCTTCCAAAACAACCTCGCCTGAAGGCGCGTCGGGTGGAGTAACCGCGTGGCAACCGCGTGGAGCTTGCCCTCAAACCTTGAAAGCCTCGCCTCCGAGCTCCACGCCTCTTTCTACGCACAACCACAACAACAGAGCGGAGTCTCTGGTAAGATTTTATAATTTTGGAGTGGCAGCGGTGGTTCCTAATAATAAAGGTGTTAAGTACACATCACCAGCATTTAATTTTAGGCTTTGTACGGTACTTGTATTGGCATTCACTGTAGTTGCACGCGTTTACAAGGTTGTGTGACAGTTTTAATACTGGTGTACAAATAATCCAATCCCACTGGAATTTATGTTTAATTGAAGCAAGGTTGTCAACCACGTACCACACCCATGTGCAAATGTTGACGTTTAGTTTTAACCCAAGTTAAAGGAACCTTTTTGTGTTTCACTTCGTGACGGCGAAGGGAAACGCCACTCGTTAATCAATCCGTTTCTTGCTCTCTGATACCACTCCATTTATGACTATCGCACAAAGTATTTTAGGGAATGATTTTATTCACTCGGACTTTGCGATCTAACCTTATACCTAAACAGATTTAAGTTTAACACGTAGGCTTTTGCGACCAATATTATTCATAATGAACGTTTTGGGTTTAGATTTTACTGGAACATGTATAATGACAGATATATCAGCAGCGGTAAACCACAATAGATTTAAAATAAATTTTTGTTATAAAACTTAAAAGCAATCTCCAATTGTGTAACAATATTTCATAAACTTACCAACTTTGCTATTTTGTTCTACAACATAGGGCGTCACGATGGCGAGCTGTTAACTACCTCGCCTGTTATACAGGTTGTGGATTCGATCCCGACCGTGACGTCTGTATATTTGGAGTTTGCGTGTCTCTCTCTCTCTTTCCTCGTGGTCGTGTGGATTTTTCTCCCGGGTCCTCCGATTTTCCCTCCACATTTAGAATCAACATCATGCGTCTGAAAAAGAGCAACATAGCTAAGTGGGTCTTACCATAAAAAGAAAAAGAAAACTATAAAAAAATTATGAGATCTCTTTTACCAGTGGCAAAATATAGTAGTAAGTTTTTACCAGTTTAAAAGGGTAAAAACTTACTACTATATAAAACAAATGTTGCATGTTAGTTAGGTATTGCAGCCAAATACAGTCCCACCTGTATGAACAATCATACAATGCAAGTTAGATAAGCCCCAATACCGGGTCTTCCCCTCTTGCTCAGAGGCCCAGTCTGAAGATCTTACCTAAAGCACTGAAGCAATCTCGGTCGTGAACTTTGGCCTACTCTATGAAAAATAAATTACATCACTGGCACTAATATAGCATCTGTCACCCACCTTTTCGAAATTTCCGCAGGACCATCTGGAAAATTGTTTGAGACTTAGCGAGGCGTTCCTGGGTAAATAAGTGCCAATCATAATAATGAAGTCTAAAGTTGCCTAGGCAGCGTTGGGAAGCAAGTCAAATACATGTACAATAAACATGGATAAATACATTGCATAAAAAGATCAAACGGGGTTTTATTCCGACGTAGAAATTAAGGCAGAATTGTCCATTGCTGGGGTGTTCTTACCGGTTGACTGTTGTCAATGTCACGTGACCTTATTCCAGTCAACCAGGAGCATGAGATATGCTGCAACATGAACACACCTTCAAGATAATGTAAAAAAGTTTTGGAGATCTAATGTCTAATGTTGATTTGTACTTGTATATGGTTGCAGCCCATGTTACATAAACCATAATGGATATAAATATTGTTGCAAGCTGCAAGTTTTGATGTTATTTGCGTATTTCGAATACAATTTGAATATTTGTTTCCAACAAACAATATGTATAGGTATATATAAAACACTTCTTCCTTAAGAGTGCATCGGAATATGGTCATCGAGAAGTAACTTGAAAGAAAAAAAACAGGGTTTACGTGAAATTACTTAAACTATAATTGAAAATACATTTTGCAGAGTTGGTGTTGCAATTTTCCTTACGAATCGTCAGTTCTCATTTGGAGATGTCTTAAAATAAAAACTGATATCAAACTGTAATTGCAATCGTCACGACGTTATATATTTGTAATGCTTAGCCATTATTAGCTTGTATACGATATATATTACATTTTACATGAAGCAAGTATCCAATTTGCAATTACTTGCTTGCAATAACTTAAGAGCACGATTGCCAAAATGGTGTTAATACGAGAAAGTATGCTGAACAGTGTATCATTATTCATGTAGAAATTCAAAATTAAATGCGAAAAAAAATGAAACTAAAACCTCTTGTTAATAATGGCCACATCCAAACACTTTGATTAGTTTTTTTCCCACGTAACGCCACAACAGCCCAGTATGTTCAGAGCACGCGCTGTTTGTAGCCAGGCCTGACCTTCGCACGTCCTTTCATGCACCAAGTCGGTCTCCCACACAGGACGTGGGGCATCCCTCTCCTCCCCACCGCCAACGTGCTCGTAAGTCTGTAAAGGTACAAATAGGGGCGGGCCACTCGACTCTGTATTCTGCACGCATGGGCACGAGAGCCGTGCTGCTTGCCTTCACTTCGCTTCATGCCAGTGCATGATTACGCGTCAGCACTGTAGGTTACCATTAGCCATTGTCACTTCGCTTGGATGCGGGCACTCTCCATGTCATTACCATCCCTCATGGGCTTGCCATCCCTCTGGTGGAACCATGAACATCAACAGGCCGATGCGCACATCTCCTTCATGAATGGAAAATTAAAGGCACGAGCCACAGTGATATTGTGGACATGCAACTCAAACTACGGACCATATAGTAAACCCACTGTGGTCTACACTCCTTCAACAGAGGAGGAGGAAGACCAAAACCACACGAACTCTCTCTCTCTCTGCTGGAGCCCTCTCGTCGTGGTCAGCAGACATCGGCATCGAGCTCCTGAACGTATTTGTGCGATCGTACACAAGAACAGCGTGGTCTTGTGATGGGGTAAACTGTCTCGATCCTGTGCGTGGGCTCAGATCGTTGCTCGATCTCTGCAGTTGTCTCAGGCGTGTTTGCTCCTTTGGTTGCCGTTATTTTTCTGTGCGTTTAGTTTGTTGTCCTTCCACCGCACCTCCGATTAGCACGGTTGGCTGCGTAAGGTGTGAAAGAAGTTCCACACACATCACACACATACATCCAACATATTTACATACATACATCCACACACATACATTGATACATTTCGTCTGCAGTCTCATCTGTGGGCTGTCAGCCTTTCCCGCGATGCGTCCTCTCCATGGCCACTGCAAGTTGCAGGATGTGGGTGTCCCCCGTTCACCGCTGAATCTCGAAACGTGCAAAGCATGTTCAGCGTTAATTTTATTTAGAGAGGTGTAGTATTGCCATTGTTTTTAAAGACGTCATTACTTACCGCAGTGAACCGTCGCGACACGACCACCTCTACTCTATGATAGCTGGCACCAACACTGCCACATGCCCTCCCGCATGACCTTGTGGGAGCCACGGTACATCTTCCGACCTGAAGACGTACCGACAACGTTATTGCGCACGTACGTCATCAGAATGGGAAAGGTTTAATACACAGTTATAAGTTGGCTCTAATTTGCATCGGTTTTCTGATCCATGTGTTCACATTTCTGTTTCGTGATGTAATTACAAGCCTCCGTCTCTCTGTACTTCATGAAAGTCTTCTTTCGGAACATTGCCTTTATTTATCATATTCCGTTTTACATCCTCTTTTATTTGTGTCTTTTCTTTCCTAAATGTATCTCAATTATCTTCAATAATTGATCTCGGTATACATACTCTTGTGTTGTTCAGTAGTGTCCTTCAAACAATGATGTTAGTTTGTTTAGTAAACTTGAAGATTACGGCTTTAATAAAAAAAATTGCATAACCTATCGAGCCACATTTGAGATGATCGGAATTAAAGTTTAGTGCCCCCAGCATGTTGCGACCCCCACTGCCACTGTGTAGAATATTATTACGTGCCAGGGACTCTATGAGATGATAGGACAATAGTCTGAGTCCATAATTGGCAATAAGTAATGGCAAAGCAGTTATAAGTGACTCAGAATTGTGCGCAGTTGCGTATACAGTACACGACTTCCCTGAAGGCAAACACCTTCAGCGAGCGTGATGCCGATCACACAACGCGGTTCGAATTCGACCCTCGATCGATGGCTGCACCATCGCCGCACACGCGTCGAATAAAAGCAAGGGACAAGTCCTTACTCACTAAGAACTCCTCTATCATGTTTCATTGCTGGAGGGGTTGTCCCCCCTACCTGAAAATCCTGGCTCCGCCATTGCCCCCAGCGCACTCAAGGCATCACCTTTCGGTGCCATTTCATACGTGTTGTATGTAGTTTCTTTTATTTTTATTGTTTTAAGCTTAAATATACAATAACACAACATTAAACTTCTAAATTTAATCCATAGCATCTACAAAAATATAAATAATTAAACTTTTAAGATCTGAATACTTAAATTAGAAAAAAGCCACTTTTGCAAGATACAAATAATTGTGAAACAACCTTACAGTGTTATATTGAACGGCATAGTTCGGCTTAATTTGCATAATCAATAATGGTGCATGCTATAATTAGCATTGTAACCCCCTGTGTCAATACACTGCTCGATGAAGGCCCACCATGCTGTACTTTGTGGGGTTGACCATACTTCACCACATTGGTCAGTGGAGGTTGAAGGGACAGCTACGTATATTCGCCAGAGTAAATAAAGGGGTAAAGTATGGCATTTGTTTTTAATAGTGGAATGATTGATCGATCGTATATTAAGATACCATGGTCGATGATAAATGTTAATTTAATACATTAAATAGTACTGTATATCGTATTACGCTAAATTTTTAAGGGATTAGTTTACTGCAAGAAAGTTATATTTTCACCGTTTGTCCTGTGGACTTTCTAGATTTCTTTTCCAGAGTTAACATTTGTTTAAACACGGTACCATTAACCCAATTTGAAGTTTCGGATTTTCATTAGCAAAGTGTCACCTGCTTAATTTTACACGGTATACAATATAAGTTAAATTGATAGTTCATTCCATGCTGCATTACTGGACTGTACAGCAAAATAACCACCACAAAAATCAGTCAATCAATCTGTATTATACATGCCAATATATAAAGTGGGCATCACAGGGGAACGGGAACGGTACAGGGGGCATCGAGCAACAGGAATGAAGAGAGAACCCGTCACGACCTCAGCGGCTAACACTAACTGAGCAAAGTAAATCGCCTTTTAGCTCAACGAAGTGGCTTATGTGGAAATTGACAGCAGCAGCCAAATACTCGAAAATGCTTGACGTTGATTCGAAATGTGGAGGGGGAAAACTCGGAGGACCTGGAGAAAATTCCACGCAATCCTGGGGAGGGCATGAAAACTCCAAATATATAGCAGGCGTCGGGGTCGGGATCGAACCCACGTTTATCTTTATACCAGGCGAGGTAGATAACATCTCCGATCCACCGTGGCACCCATGTTTGGGGCTGACCTCGAGAAGGCTTCGTCACCCCCAGCGTTGGGTGAACAATGTCGTTGTGATGGTGCTGTGAGATGAGGGATACAGGTGATGTACAATATACGCACACACTCGAGAAGACACGCACATACTCAATTTTTGTGATAATAGTTTTAAATTGTTTATGAAAAGTTGTATCTATGGGACCTTTTAGGTTTCACACTGAATTGCATCTTGCAAAGGGATTTTTCTGATGAAGTTTTCAGATTTTTTTAAGTTAAATTGGTTATATTTTAGCGCATTTTTTGCTTTTGTTTATTTTTGTGTCAATGTATGTTTAAGCTTATCACAATTAAAATAGATTCTATGGAAGCGGCTACATCTATCGCGTATAAAATGGCATCTAGAGGTGGTGCCTCGATTAAGTTAGGGGCATTACACTTTCATTCCAATAATCTCAACTGTACAGAGCACCTATGTGGCGTTTCAACATCTTAACACCTGTGTTATTGCCAGAAAGGGTCAAGCCTCTTTGTCTATTTTTTCATCAAAAGTGTTGTGCATTCTGAGAGTATGAACGGCTGATTAGTTTTTCAATGGACAATATCAGGTCACGTGTGTCAGTGCCCCTCTTCCTGGTGCAATGATCCTGACGGATATTATCGGAGCATTATTTTAGTTTGTTGTCCTTCCCCCCCACCCGCACCTCCGATTAGCACGGTTGGCTATGTATGGTGCGAAAGAAGTAGGTGCATTCGTTCGTAAGCTTTTACTGGAGTTGGCCATGTTGTATGTAAGCCTGGTCGCAATGCGTGACGTTTACGCCCAGAATAGTATCCTCATGGAGCAGAACAACGGGGTAGAGTGAAATACATTTCACACAGGAGTGGAATTAGCCCTGGGATCTTGCCATCATCAGTCGTGGCATGGCCACTGCTAAATGAAAGGCTACCTATACTATCTCCATATGGCACCACCATCTCACATTCTTTTTCTGCTGCCGTATGTAAATAGTAACACTAACGAGGGTAGATCGAGGTTTAGTTAGCCAGCCAAGAGCATCGTAGGGTGCCGACTGAACTTCTGCTATCCCACGGCAAAATGAATAGAAGGGACAGCTGTTGACGTTCACCACAGCTTCAGTGCGGATTATTAATCGCCCACTCGTGCAGACGTGCGTGCCGCACCGTGGCAAGTGTTGATGACGTTTACGATCACTCACTCACGCGGGGATAGCGCGGAGCCAGGATGCTCGGCCCTGGGGTCTTCAATCAGGCTCCTCTTTGTGACGTCTGCGCTCAAGTGATCTCAGCACTCCATCTCAGCACTCCATCTCAGCCGTGGTCATCTTCTCGGGCGCGTTCTTTCCTGTGGCTGCCGTTCCGTCACCATTCTTCTCCGTTGGCATCATCCCTGCTCGCGATGTGCTCTTCAGCTGTCTGCCCATTTTCTTTGTCACTGTCCACGTTTCTGAGCTGAGTTATCGTTGGCAATATGGGCCAAATGGTAACTTATTATTTACGTATGCTGCTCTCACTTGACAAATACAATTGTGCAAAAGAAATCCACCTTCCTCTTGTTTGCATCTTTATTTCACTATTTAGATCCAAGTGTATATCTTAAGGCATAATTATGTTTAGCAAAATTGTCTAACTTTGCAGCCTTGTTTTTTAAGTCAAAGTATTGGTTGTTCTAACTTTGTTCGAGTGACTTTTTCATGAGCAAATCGAAGACGACTAATACTTTATCCATTTATGTTGCATGCTTTTATTTCTCAAATCCATTTTTTTTGTAAAATATCCTCTCCCATTGCTGTGATTTGCGTTATTGGCGGGTTGTCTCCTCGGCTGGCTTCTCTTCTGATTTGTTATTTCCACTGTCTTCGTGCAGATCAATATTGACGGTACAGTAATACCCCGATTTAGCACGGTTGGTTACATAACAGTGGAAAATAAGTTAAACTTACATACACCGCACCTCCGATTAGCATGGTCGGATATGTATGTTGCGAAAGAAGTTCAACATACATACACGTCTCTCCCTTTTGACATCGTTTCGTAAGCACGTTGTCACGTTACGATCACCGCTACCCGATTAGCGTCGCCTCAACCCCACACACTCGCATCACTGAGAGCATCGTCGTCACCCGTTCTCATTATCCGTCGCCTTTCAGCCTCCTCCACCATCACCACCGACTATCCACTACCCCTGTTCAAATCGCTTCGATTCAAGTCGTTTCGATATTCGTTGTCCACCCCGACATCCTAAACCGGGGTATTATTGTACCTTAGTTATTAATTATTTTAATAACTTCTTGTTATATTATTAAAGCCTCCGTTTATGATAGCTTAAATAACTGCTAAAGTTTTCAATGAATAAAATGCCTTGTCAGTGATTAAATCCAGGAAAATTAGTTTATTACATGTATTTATCTTTTGTAGTTTGATAGTAATTTGATTAATAGTAGGTAAAAATACAGTTTCTAAATCCAGCTCCAACGTTCGAATTAATTGTACGTGTAATAGCATGCCAATGGGTCTGTACTTGGACACATCCGTTTGTGTCTCTCATGCTGAACAATGGTGTATAATTTATTTATTGATGTATTTCATTTCTATGTGTAAACATTGAGTGAACAAACAGCATTTTTTTATTGTAACAGCTTCCTTGATATCTACAATTATTTTATCTGTTCTCAAAGCGTTTCCCCTTTTTCATGCTGTGAAGGGCAGTTTACTTGTTCAGGTGTAACCGTTCAAACATAATCCTCATCTGATAAATGATTTACCCCTGAGGTATTCGTTTTTTTTGCTATAAAATTTACATAAAATGTAGAATTTTTTTACAATACATAACATCTACATGTGGTACAATAGATAGGTATATAACCCTCATTTCGTTAGATACGTAACATCTACGTCATAGCCATTTATATGTTTCGAAATGTTTATCGCTTGTGAAATGGTCTTCAACCAATTACATTTTAATATAAACTTGAAACATTTATTCTGGCTCAATTTGAGATTGCAATTTCGAATAGCTTGTCAGTTACGTATGGGAAAATAGGCTTACATACACACATGCTTAGGATTTTTTTAACACATTAAATTAACGTATTTAAATGTTTGCATTTATAATAGTTTTTACGTTTTAACAATATGCACGGCACACATCTACATATATATAAATAATGTTTATGTATTATTGATGTACATGTAATGCATACAATATGCTATACATTATATACAAACGCACAATTACACACAATATACATACGCACAATTACACAATTATATACATATACACAATTCCAAGATGAACGTGTACAGGCTGTTGAGGCGAGCTGTGGTGCCACCCAGGTATGGTGTGGGCTGAGCAGGGCTGCAGCCCCCTGGGGGGGTGGGGGGGGGCTCTGCACCATCCGACTGTGAGCTCCTCTCATTTTTCCCCGACTCACTTTAACAAAAGAGTTACTACACGTGTTTTAACCCCGTGTACAATAATGTGTAGGCTATAACTTTATATTATTTTAGTTGTGACCGTGTATTGGGTTCAGGGGAAGACAGTCTCACAGTTACAGGATAAATAAAATATGTAAAGGTACAATACGACTCACAATAAAGTTATCGTGCGTCTTGCTTTCATGCCGGCTCCATTGCTCAACTTTACACTGCTCTATTGATAACGATAGCCAGATGCGTTAATCCGGCTTGGTACATGGTAGACCGCGGGTTATTTTTAATTAACAACAAAAATTTTAATATTTTTTTCTAAACATTTTTAACTTGTTAATCTGTTGATTCGGGGGGGGGACACCCTTGTGGCCGACTGTGCCCCAATGCGTCGCATAACGCTGCCGCATACCCACCTCCATAGATGCAACCCCTGGGCTTGAGACGTGTCTCTGTCCTGTCATCCCCCGCAATGTTTTTTTACGTCCTCAAACAATACAATTGTCTCAAAATGGCATTGCCAGGAAGCGTGAGGTGTCGTAGAGACAGGAACCACCCTTGTGTGGATGCACCGCTGGATAAGAGCCTCATTGTGCCATGCCCATGATTTGATGATCATGCTGTCAATATATGAAGGTCGACAACACAGATGTTGGAGCCTCGTACAGGATAAGGTTGGGCGTTGCCGCACTGATGACAACCCTAACATAAAAATAATCTACATTTTCACATTTTGTTGAGGTGAATATACTGTGCGTGTGCTTAATGTAGCGTGATGTATATGTATAGCTTTGCGGACGTACACCGTGTTCTTTAGCTTCATGTTATTCTGTTGACAGTTCGGGTCGGACAGAGAGGTACTTTGTTAGAGTAGCCATTGAGTTTTAAGAGTCAGCGCTGACGATGTGCCCAGCCTCGCGACTGTCTGTACACGGCGCTCTCCCCGTTCGTCACAAACCTTGGGCACCGTCCACGCTCATGGTGGCGCGACCTCGAAGCGCCACCGTCGAGATCGCTTTCGTTCGTTGCATGCGTCATGGGCGGAGACGTGAAGTGGTGCGGCGTTTCGCGTGATTGGCCCCGTTGTTTATTGAGTGTGCAAAAATGTTCAATGTTGCGATTTCAACCGGTGCTGGGTTTTTCGGATGATGATAATGGTGGAAATAAGAGTATTTATTTTAAAAAATGAAAATATATATTGTACGTGGTGACACACACACCTATAATATAGCGCTTTGAATAATGGCGGTGGGTCGAATTGAGATTCGCAAAACTCACAAATGCCCTCGCTGCGGCATTGCTTCTCTCGGCTGCAATGATTTGGCTTCTAGACCACGGTACTTAGGAGGTGTTAAACCCCCGTTTTTGAGGTTTGTAAAGTTCAAACGTCACCTTTATTTAATAGCATAATGCTAACGTTCTCGTATTGTCGTCGGGCCTTGGGGGCCGTCCATAAATGACGTCACGCACCTGGGGGGGGGAGGGTCAGACATTTGTGACGATTTGTGACGAGGGGGGGGGGGGTGAAAAATGTGACGTCACATCAAAATACGCAACTTTTAATAACTGTAAGTCTACTGAATTAAAATGACTTTTTAATAAATGCTTTCTCCTTAAACATCAGAGAGTGCAGCGGCACATTAAATACACACTACAATTACAATAGTTTAAAGCGATTTGAAGCATGTTTTATTTTGGGGGGGGAGGCAGAGATTTGTGACGTCATATTTGAGAGGGGGTCTGACTTTTTGTGACGCCGTGTGACGAAGGGGGGGGGGGGTCAAAAATCGACCAAAATCGCGTGACGTCATTTATGGACGGCCCCTTGTGCTTCCATTTGCAAAATAAATAAATGAGCGAGTGTTATTTCATTATTTCCTCTTCTAGCTTAGCACACACGCAGTTTGTTAAATGTCACGACGGACGTGTGATTTTGTTTGCCCAATAACTTTTTAGTCGTAATAAATGAATACGTAAACAAAGCCTCGTGTCAATCCCGATGAAGGCCCGCCCGTCCTGTGTCGGTCACATGTCAGCATTGGTTTCGTCTGACATCTTCCACCCGTGTGATTGTGAGGGGAACCCCATCAGTTGTTTGGGCTGCACCTACGGTATTTAACCCAAGTGAATTTTCGCTCGTTGGTTTTTAATGAAACTGTGATGTATCTGGTGAACCGCATGCATTAATGTACGTCATTGTAGAATTCATACGATGAGTGATTTGCGCTAATTTGCTTCAGTGTGTAAGGTTATTTTTAAGTGTGCTGTCAAATTGCTCTTAAACCAATGTGTTTTTACATCGCAGATACATGATTCAATGTAAAAAATGGGGTTTGAAAGCAAAGTTGAACATAAACAGTATTCAATTTCTGATGTAGTCTATAAGTGGCATTTATTGTTTGTGTTATTGTTTAGTTAGTAACGCCTCATCCACCCACCCACTACTTACTCGCCTACGGTCATCTCACGCCGTCTGCGTGCGTTACGTGCGCCCTCTGCTGGATAAAGCAACACGAGTCTCACTACACTTACCACTCTATACACTCACTCACCACTATACACTCACCTACTCATCACTATACACTCCCCATTCTATACACTCCCCATTCTACACATTCACCCACACTCACCCACTCTATACACTCACCCACACACCCACCAACAAACCAACCCACTCTATATACTCACACACCCATCAACAAACCCACTCTATACACTCACAACACAACAACAAAACAACCGCCATTCGCCACTAAGTGGCGGTGACGTCACCACGACGCTTGTGCCAGGCTATGCGCACGTTGAGGCCACGTGAAGTGTCCAACGCCCGCTGGCAGGAGGTCACGGGGCAGACCCAGGTGCCACGGGCCGACTGATTGAGAAGACTGGCTGATGCACCACCTGTGCCGCCTACTGTGCCAACTTTCTGTGCTTTAACCACCCGGCGCTTCGCTCGTTGTTGTGAGTGTCGCTCCTCCGCCCTCCATTGTTGCTGGAGGACGACTGCCTCCAACTGCCCAGGAGCGTCCTTGACGAGCCTCCTCCTGACACCGCTGGTACCAGTCATCGGCAAGTCCACTCAGCTCCACATCCTTCTGTACCACATCACTCCATCTCTTATCACTCATCACTATGCACCCACCACTCTATACACTCACTCACTCACCCAGCTTGAAATTGAAACTGCTATTGTTAATAAAATTTGCAGTGAAATTCGCAAATTCGGAAATATGTCGTCTCCATAAAACACAATAAAACCAAGAAGATCCAAAGGAGTTTCTGGTAGAACTTCATTCCGGTTTACTAATATGGGTTTTCCCCTTTTTTCTGGCAACAAAACTGACACCTTTTGCAAGGAATCATGTCTACATTAACCACAATACCTGCAGTCAAATGCAAACAAAAACAACACTCTGGTAATTTATGCATTGTCTTTGAAACTGATTGGTCCACACCAGAGACAGCTTTCTTTGTCTCATATGGTGTTCGACCAGATGACGCCAAAAGGCGCACAGTTCAAGACAACGCACTACCAGAGTAATGAGGGCTCGGGGTGAGCAGCTACATCATGGGACCTCTTTTGCCAGTGTAGTAGGTTCAAGGAGACTTGGACGACGTAGTCAGAGGCACACTTATTTATTAACCACAGTTGTATATTACAGGCCGAGATATACAACACTCGAAGGGGTATCGGCCCCTTCACCTGTCTAACAGGGAGATCCCACAATCTCTGTCCCGGCTAGCCTACTCCTAGGTCCTCCACTACAGGGCTAGGGGAGGCTAGCTGACCCAGCTCTGGTTAAGCTGAGATTACGGCACCCTGAGTCCCCAGACAGGCTCTTAGAAGAACATTGGCTCTGGGCTCTCGGGGCCACGCCACTGGCTTGCCCTGGTCGGTCCTGAGAAGGACAGCGATCCAGGGGAGTCCCAGGGCCTATCTAGCCGGTCTTCTTGCTTCGCTGGTTTAAGCTGAACACTGAACCCCGAGCCCTCTGATTCACCGCCTTATATAGCAACTCCCCCACCGAGGGGTGGGGCCGTGGGGGATCCCAGCACCGCATTAGCCCCCCAGGCTAAACGGTGCGGACGTGGATGTAAGCATCTCATTCGCATACGGGCATAACCACGCCCGGTGTGTTTGTTTGCCCTCCCGTAACACCTCTACACCAGTACCAAAATATACTAATAGGGGTTTTCCCCTTTTTTCTGGCAACAAAACTGACACCTTTTGCAAGGAATCATGTCTACTGAGCAGCATTTTGCAATCTCCAATTTCTGTGAAAAGTTCGTGGCCATTGATGTCGGTGTCATAGAAATTTCCAAAATCTTTGCAATTTTGACGAATTGCATGGACATCTGTGTCGGATAGAAGAGTTTTGATGTCCAGCAGAAATCCAAATTTTGTGTTCAGGTCTTTTAGTCGTAAAAACCGTGTTGACATCTGTTGAAGTCGATAAAATACGCTCTTCATAACGTGCACAATTTCTTCTTCTGCTGAAAGTCCTGCATCTCTTGCCAGTTCTCCTGGCATCTTCCGACGTCGCCTAATTATTCTGTCCACATCGATCCACCAGGTTGTGCATCTTGTTTTGGCGTTTTGTTGTGTATGTACCCCCTTTTTATTTTTTTAAATATTTTTTTTAAGAATTATTCTGCCATCATATATAATATTGTTTTTTTAATAGACACGGGGCAACGTATAACGAACACGCCCCCACACTTCCACAGATGCGCGCATACCTCAATTCAAAGGAAAGACGGCATGAAAGAGGGTAATCAAGGTCATAAACTCCCCGAATTTCACACAAGAGGAACAAGGGAGGGGGGAATGGCAGGCAGGGGGGTCAGCAGGACATCCTTTTGTTAAAAAAAAAAACCTCAAACCAGGCACCACGGAGGAAGAGATAATTATATTCTGAACAAAGATCCCTAGCCGGGATATCAGATTAAATAATCACAAGAAGTCAAACAATAAGTACGGAATTAAAGTAGAAGAGAAATCAAGGGCGGAGAAGGCTCTCAAAATTAACCAAACACAACACCCCATGGGAAGCGAGCAACACGGCCGCCTTTGTCTTTCCGAGAGGATCTCCACACACAGGCACCAAGCCAGGAAATGACACCCATAAAGGTTGGGGCAATGGCTCAAAGGAAATTAACACACGCCTTCGAATAAATAAGCGCATGCGCCGGGTGCTCCCACCGTGGAAACAACCGCCTTTGTCTCCCCACAACACGGACAGCAAAAATTGCACACGCGAGGAAATAACATTTCCATGAGAGATCGGGTCACGATGAAACATCGTGAACACGGTTTCGGCATAACCAAGCAGCAAATAAGTCGCATTTCAACTTCCAAACCAAACCAACTTAAGCTGTGTGAGACAAAGGATGTGATCCCCGAGCAAGGGAGGGAATAATTAAGCTCGCTTAACGCGTAGGTTTTCGCGACAAATATTATTCAGTAACAAAACATGGATTCGAATGTTTTTTTTATATAACTCGACGCGAATCATCGGTCTGGTTAATGAATAACTCAGGTGGCGCCGTCACGGGGCCCCCCCACCCCTTTCTTCCAGAACGACACACAGCTGTGTCTTCAAAGCTAATAAACACACAGACAAACACGCACGCGAAACACACGGACGGACACACACACGGACGCAGATGGTCCACCCCCACAGGGATGTTTTATGACAGCATTTGAACAACTCGGGAAACTGAGTGGAATTTCCAGATATAAACCGAAGGAAAATCCATTCAAAGCAGATCGTCCGGGCCACGAGCCCCATCTCGTCCGGGCCACGGGCCCCACCAGCAGATCGCCAGGGCTCTGAGCCCCAACTCGTCGCCAGGGCTTCGACTCCACCACAGATCGTCAAGAAGTTTTCGTCATCCAGAATGGCGAGGTTCGCGGGATAGCGACGTGCCGCTACAAGCCGAGGTCTGCACCACCTGAGAAGAATCGCTACCCTGAGTCGCCGAGCTGCGAGTGAAGCCAACAAAGACGCCAACGTCCACCCTGCCACGAACGAAGCATCGCTCCTCGTCAGAGTGACGACCAGCGAACAACCCGCAGGAAAGGCGGAGATCGCTGAACGAGCGCCACCGTGCGCCACCGTGCGCCACCTTGCGCCACCGTGCGCCACCGTGCGCCACCGTGCGCCACCTTGCGCCACCGTGCGCCACCTTGCGCCACCGTGCGCCACCGAGCGACAACGAGCGACACCCGGATCGACCAGCATCAACCAAAACCGACTCGTCATCCCGCCGTGGAGAAAAAGAGTCAAAGTCTTCTGAACGAGCGCCGCCGCTCACCTCACAGCGGAGAAAGTCTCAGCTGCCGCTCGCACAGACAGCAGAGAGGTCGTATCGCTCCCCACATACAGACTCAAGGAAACAGAGAAAATCTTGTCAAACCAGTTCCTTTGTCAAAGAGTCTCGCCGAAGAATTAATTAAAACAGAGCCAGATTAGCTCTCCCGCAACACGCCCTCACCCACCAGTATATACATACACTTTCGCCTTTGGGATACAATAAGTGCTTTTTATTACCGCAAAATGAAGTGTGTCATGCTTGTCTCAAACTCGGCCAGTCGCCGATTGTGATCGATAAAAAAACGAACTAATGAGATGCCTGGTTGTTAGGAGGGTTTTTAGTCATTCAGTTCGTTAAATGCATAAGAGTTTTGAGTCATTCATTTTAGTCAAATGCATAGTCTCGTAATTGCATAAGAATTTTAGTTATTCATATTAATCGAATGCATGATATCGCAAATGCATAAGTGTTTGGTTATTCATGAATTATTGACGCATGTTTAACCTGCATGATAGAATGCCACGTGTTTGTTAGAATAAAATTGTTATCACAGAAGCATATCGAGTGTTCCTTCCAAGTCCATGCAAAACTGTCTTATTCATAAGAGCTGTTACCTGCGATGAGATATGAAAATGGAGACCTAAAATATTATAACACACACTAGGATAATCGGTAAATGAATCTATGATAATCGTGTTATCCTGATTGATAACTCTGGATAAACGAAACTAAGCCTAATTATCACAACTGCACACATTAACATAATCGCAAGCCTCCGCATAAATTACTACGATTATCTCCGTGATTATCATAATTTATGCATATAATTACACGCATTATCATAATTTATGCATAGTAATACACACATTAACATAATTAATGCGAATTGCGCATTTTTCGGAACATTATTCATTTTTATTATTTTTGTAATGCGGGCGCGGGCGACCTCCCGGATGTGACGTCACGGAGAGGTGGAGTTAGGTGACGTGGGAGGAAAGGTTAAGGTTCTTAAGGGAGGAGACCGGAAGAGGAAGGCAGAACGAGTGGGACTG